AACGGTATTAGTGGCTGATGCATGAGTTGCAAACAGTACTGTAAATGTTTAACCATTCAGAAATGTCTTGAATCCTTCCCACTACAAAGCTCGACAGTGTGCTATTCAAAGCATTACCTCCATATCTCCTTTCCTGCAGCTCAGATGTAAAGAATCAAGAAACACTTTTATTTTGCTAAAAAGCCCAATGCTTTGCATGTTAATCTCTTTATAAGGCGTCAAGTTGATTGAATTGTACTTGTAAAGTACATATGTCTAATTTATTAAAATGTGTATAAAAAATGTTTACCTATGTCCTATGTAAACATGTTTTACTGTTGATTCTGATTTCTTGTTGCGATATGAGACCAGGTCTTTTAGTATATGTTTTCAGGACAAGGCAAAGATTAATGTGAATGTCAATGTGGGCTGCTTGTAATATTTGGATAATTATCTTCTAATTCATCCAAATCCTCTAATCTGGGAAAAAAAATAAAACAATCTTCAGCAAAATAACATGTAATCCTCTTCCAAGAAATCCCAAATGGGAGCTGTCGCTAATACTCTGAACAAACAGGAAGTTAATTGTCTTCACCTGGTCGCCAGCTGTTTCTGATTAGATGAGGCACTGGGACTCTGGGTCCAGAGGAATGGAACTGGAAACCAGTGACCTGAGTGACGCCAGGGTAAAACACTGCGGATGTCTTCATTAAAGAAGCTTGTTCAAGGGGATGTGAAAGGAACGTGCACTTCAGTGTTCATTATTGCTCCTGCTAATGTGTCTTTTCTGTTGATGGTTTTTAATAACCATCATGACATAATTCCAACCACGAGTCCCCCCGGGCACAAGTATGCAGCCTGGACTGGATGCGCCAACATTTTTGCTGGTGTGTGTCTATTAAAGGACGTCATTGATTGTGCCTCTGTGTCAACTAAAGAGATCTTTGATTGTCATTGTATGGAATTAAAGTACATCTTGAATCCTTGTGGCTGCTGATTACAGCATGATCTGACATGTCAAGCAGTCCAAATGGATTTAATTTAGATGGTTTTATGAACCCTCGTGTTAAATCACTATACCCCTCAGTCTCAAGCCATGGTTTATAGAAAAAATGGATTAGCTAAATCCAGTAAAGCATTAAGATATCAAAATTACAATTGTTGCCCACATGTTTCCATTTATTGTACAGCAAAGGGAATTGATATTCTAAATGCATTACTGGATCCTGACTCCCACATGCAGGATTTCCTGGTTTAAGCAAAGATATTTGATGTATTTTAAGCTCCAAGACTTTAAGAAGAAAACCACTAATGCAACATAATTTTCACATCCACTAGGGTCGTTTTCCTTTATTCATAAATAATTGTATTATTTCATATATTTCAATATCTGTTAAAAGGGTTGAGTTTATGGGAAACTGTCAATGTTAATCAGGATCACCAACATTATTATGATGTTTGGAGTCAGATGAGGTTGGATCATTATTAGAAACTTTTGTGGCATCACAGCATTTGTCAAATGAAATATGAGCATATGTGAGCTTAAAGTGGACTTTTAAAAAGAATTAAAATTGTAACAAATTTAACACTGATCAAAATTAAGGATAAGCTACCAATGAAGAGAATAAAAAAATCCCTTACACAGTGAATAAATTCACAAAAAAATAACCATTAATCAACATGTAATCTTAGATCAGTGCAATTGCAACAAAGTTTTTTACTTTATCTTATATGTAAAACTTGTCCTGAAGTATTTTTATTTTTTTAAATCAAACCACGTGCAAAAATGTTTGAGCTGTAGTTCAATTCTACAGAATATATGGTAGATGCATATAGGAATTATTATATCTCTAAAAAAACTCGATTCAGAAAAGAATGTTTTTTGTTTTTTAACCCTCTTTTTAAGTTATTCTCAGAGGTGTAGCCAGAAAATTTTAATAAGGGTGGCCAGGCAATAAGCAATGTATACTTTTTGTAAATAAAGACAAACTATACTTTCATACAGCCTTTCCTAACAAATAGAAGCATATATTTAAACATCTGTGCTGACTTATTAAAGGTGTAGAGGACAACATTTCTGGGGTGAACGTCTTCTCCAATGTCATTACTTACCTACTTTTACCAAAAATTGTTCTGCATAAAAAATATATTTCTATGTACTAACATCTACATTAAATGGATTTTTAAGTTATTATAAAAGTAGTTATTTATCTATGATTTCACTGAAGATATAATTTTCTCTTTACCTCATATAACACAAAAATATAGTTCTGAAAAGAGCATGAATTCTGTATATATCAACTTTAATGTTAGTATTTTTATGTGCATAAACACAGCGTTTTAGTAGTCAAGTAGTTGTTAATATATGAAACATTAAAATGTTTAGTAACGTTGAAAATTCGCCTTGAGAGTATTACTGCTGCCACCGTGGGCGAAAAAAATGGTCCCCCATCCAGCTCCGCCTCTGGTTATTCCCAAATGTTTGAATTTTGTTGCCTTCATATAACATGTAGTCCAGTGGCGGTTCTAGACCAAATGTACCAGGGGGCCAGGAGGGGGCCAGCATATTTTCATAGTGGCACAGAAAAGCATGAAATGAAAAATCAGAGCAAGGGATTCAAAAATAATAAGAGAGCTGCATGAAGTGAAATTTTAATTAAAATCCTATGTCTTATTAGGTTAATATACATTTATAACTTAGGAATTTTACTTATTTTTGACTTAATGTAAGTCAAAATTACCATTTTTTAAAAATAAAATCTGAATTAGAACTCAAAAACTGATGAATTCAGCTGTAAAAATTATAGCATTTTTTTTGTATTTGTTTCTGGAAAAAAAACATTTGACAGATAAAAACTAAGATCCTATCTCAACACCACTGAAGCTATCACCTTATTGCATTTAAATAATTAGTAAAACAGAATTTGTAAAGAAAAAAAAATTGAATAGATTCAAAGGACCTATCAGTAACCCTGTCTGTTCCAGTGCATATATTATGAGAATTATGTCTTCAGTACAGGGGCCAATAAAAGGGGCCAAGACATGTTCTACAAGGGCACTGGCTCCCGTTGGCCCCTGTCTAGGACCGCCCATGATGTAGTCTGTTTTTTCTATATGTATTTCACAAAATCAGCATTTACTATTATCAACGTTTACTTGAAACCTTAGTGATTCTTTGGAGGTGTAAATAGAATTTAAGATTTTAAAGTGTGTTTCCTTAGCTTTTGGTTGAACTTGTACTGGAGTAGCATATATTAAAAATAATCCGCCCCCTAGGGAAAGCTAGAAACCAAAGCATTTTTGCAATAGCGCTCTGCTGCCATCTAGTGTTGAAAAAATAAGCTTACAACTTCTTCCCACTGTCGGATATTGCGTCACTGCTCAACGCTCTACCTGACCTCGCGGTCCGGTGACGTCTGGCTTCTCGTGTGGATAGCCAAGATGGACTTTGCTCCAGAGGAATCTTGAAATGTCTGTTTTGATCTTTTGAAACATCTCACTGTGCAGGTTAGTTTCTATTTCGTCTGTGTCGAACCTCTCTGTCTTACTTTAGTTAAAAGCTCAGATAAATATCGGAACGGAAGCTGCCATTCATTCATAGTATTAGCCGCATGCTAGCTTAGCTCATGCTAACCAGGAAGCTAAGCAGTGTGTACGTGACGAATGTGACAGAAACGACTTTTAACTGTTTGTCGCCTTTCATAAAGCCGTTGTTTTTAAACCACCTGTTAAAATAGCAGACAGGGTGTTGCTTTATATTTTTTTATGTTAGCCTGCAATATATTAATATGTTAATTGTCCTTTACATACTTAATTGACCTCTGTGAATGTGCTCCCTGTCAACATTAGTCCTGCTTTATCTGACTCTAACTTCATGCTTTATCTCTGTGCTGCAGCTCAGCAGGGGAATGTCAGATAACCAAGGGAACAATGGGGAAATACTTTTACTGCACAGGTTTGCTGAAAAGCACCTGGGACCAAGTTTGCATTGCTTTCTGGCAACGTTACCCCAATCCTTACAGGTGAGAGAAACACACGATTGTGATGGTGTCTACAGTTGGAATCCTTTGTTTTACCTTTTAATACTATGGAAGTTATGGTGATAAATCCTTCAATTACTGTGAGCATTTTTAATGAGTATATATATGCGTATTCAGGGTTTCTGCGGATCATTAAAATTCATTAAGTTATTTTTTTTAATTAAGGCCTTAATTGGCATTATCATGGCATTTAAAATGCTTTATAAAAAAAAAAATAAAATTGTCAAATATATCCTAAAGCCATATATTTGGAACAGAAGCTCGAGGCACAGAAAAAGCTAGAGAATTGGAAAATGCAAATTTATCTTATTGATGGCATTAGAATTATTTCAAAGAACATTAAAAGGTATTAAATTAGAGTTCCTCCTTCCTGTATAAACCCTGTTATTGGTGTTTTAATATGTAAAATCTAAAATTGTTTTCACTGTCAAGCAGAGAATTACAAGTAGAAATTTCCCAGTTACACTAAGTTTTAAAATGATTCCAGTAGTCCATCCATTTTCTTCCACTTTATCTGGGGCCGGGCAGAGAAGCAGACATGCCCAGAATTCCCGATCCACACACACTTCCTCCTGCTGCTTTGAGGGGACCCCCAGGGTGACACCAGGCCAGCTCAGAGACATAGTCCCTCCACGGTGTCCTGGGCCTTCCATGAGGCTTCCTCCCATTTGGACATGCCTGGAACACCTCCAGAGGGAGGCGACCAGGAGGCAGATGTCCGAGCCACCTCAGCTGGCTCCTTTTGACGTGGAGGAGCAACGACTCTACTTGGAGCTCCTTCCGGGTAACTGAACTCCTCCCCCGATTTTCGAAGGGTGCGCCTAGCCACCCTATGGAGGAAACTCATTTTGGCTGCTTGTATTGGCGACCTTGCCCTTTTGGTCATCACCAGATCTCATGACCATAGGTGAGGAGGTGGGAACCTAGATCAATCTGTAAATCAAGAGCTTTGCCCCCAGTAGATTCCAGTAGTAATAAATCATATTTCAAGAAGAAGACACAGAAGAAGACACAGTAACCTTTTATGGTGTTTATGCATCAACAAAGTAACGTAAGTTTGCAAAAACAGCATTATGCAATCTGCATGGCAATAGCAGTGTTCCCCCCCTTTAACTTTTCTTGCACAAAATTATGAGTTGTCTTTTCTTGCTAGAGACCAATATGTTTGTGCATATTTGTGAAATGGGGGGGAAAAAAACAATGCATTTTTTTCCCCTGCAGAATATATTTTCTTATTCCATTAACCTCTTAAAATCCTCCCTTTTTTATGTAATCCTCGCCTGTTTTGCATACCTGAATAAAGCAAATAACTAAGGAACTGAAAGGGCAAATTACTTGTGTGATGCATCATCTGAAAGCTAACGCCTTCTAGTTTCTGAAAATATAAATGGGTATAGTGTGACTAAAACACAGCCTAAACTGCATCAGTTCAAACATGACTAAGTTTTTTTTTCTTCAAGGAAATAATAGGTCTCTTTTGAATAGCATTAACAAAGACATGCTTGACAGCAGGTTTGTGTCATGACATATTTATTCTGCATAATGTCAACCACAACTGCAAAAAAATTTAGACCTCTAGGTATAACAGTCTCAGAGTTATGGGACTTATAACTTTTGGTGTCACCAGCTTCTTCAAATGACCTATAAAACCGTACCGAAGTGTTTTGATGACCACAAAACATTTTTTATACATATTTTTCCACTTAGGTAACATTTCCATCTAATGATCCAGCAGTGTGTAATAATCAGTCTCTCCTATGCCCGTTCTCTGTTACAAAGGGCATTATATTAGGTCTGCATTATTCAAATTTTCCACCTTACCCTTGTTTGAAAATGGTCATAACCAACAGCAGTGGACTTTATGAGGCCTAATATGAAGGGGCTCTGTTTGTAGGGTGCTGTCTTTGATGGGGACACTTTTGTTTTGTTGGCTGGAAAGTGATGAAAGCAAACATCAAACTGAAATATTTTTGGAAGTAAATCTTATTAGCAAGAAGATTAGCATTAGCTCTGACAAATGAACTTTTCTGATCGCAAAAAACTCAACTTTATGTGGCCAGTTTCTGATCATGGAATATTTTATTATGAATATGCTGGATTATTTGTAGTGTATGGACACTTATGGATAAATAAAAATTATTTAACATGTAGGAACCAGAAGCTTTATTTTAAAAATTATGATTTAACGTTCTGCTTTATTTTTTTTTATTAAATTATTTTGTACTTTGTTGCTCATTGTCTGCATAAAATTAACTTGGTAGTTGAGTGGGAGAGAATCTAAGCTTTCCTAAGAAGTGAATGTAAGCTGGTTTGTCAGTAAAAATACTGCAATTTAATCTCAGGATTACCTACAAGGGCGACTGTTTCTCTGTAAAGGAACACAGCAGAAAGGTCAGAGTAAAAAGTCTTGGATGTGGGGTTAGTTTTTATAAACTATCGAGCAAAACAACAGCCATGGTGGTAGATAATGCAAAGAGAAGTCTTTCTTTTTGACCCTCTTTGAAAGATGGCATTTTTTAATTCTCTGGAAAAGAAATGAAGTGCGAGATGAACTACCATTCGTGTCTGCTTCCTTAAACACAGAGCATGCTCACCACTTGTGATGTCATTGCATCCTCTGCTGTGCATCTGGGATACTTAAGTGTGTATGAATGCAATCCTCACAGGAGATCACATATCTGTGGAAATGTGAACGATCATGCAAAACAATCAGATTTCACACAAAAATTGGAATTGAGTGTTAACCACTCTACGTCTTGTGTGAACGTAGCTGCTGTTCAGTCAATCATCTGAGCAGAAGGTCTTCTGTTTGCTAATATCTATATTGAAGAAAAGGGGAAATATTCTAGAAGACATCCAGGCCAAATGAATCCTGAAGGAAAGTTTAGCTGAAGGCTTGGTGTATTTCATATGACCCTGAACGCACCAGATTCAAAAAGGAAAATCCTGCCTCACCTCATGGT